TTTTTTAAGTTAGACATCAACTTTCTTAGTATTCCTCAATCTATTAATTATAAACAATGTAACAAGAAAAAAATAGTAAAATATAAAATGCCAGTTTTCTGATTCATTTTTTGTAAAAAGTGTATAGGGTCGCTAGAGACCCGAGGTATGTAAATGTGTAAGTATTTTTTCCTGTGCAACTATATTTACATATCTGATGACTCAATATGTGCAATGCATCTTTTTTCCTCAAGGTGACACTGTTTGATACACAATAATGACGTGACGTTTCACTCATAATTACCGCAGGCATAAAACAAACTAATATCATCAGCAAAAATTGAAGTGGTTTGAATGACTTTACTGCAGAGCAATTACTATACTACGCAATGAAATATAAATGTCACTGTCATTTGATGCTGGATGTGGTGAATAAGCTGCCAGTGATCAAAATATTAAATATGAAGTCATTGCAACCGATAGTTTTGAGAATATGGCTGAGATCGTGAATATGAGCCAGATGCTGAATGTACTGTGAAAGTGCGCTCTGACGATGACAGCGATGGTAAAATCATCTGCTCAAATTGAACCCTTTTAAGTTTCAAAAGGTAACGAAATATGCTTTATTTTATTCTTCTGTAATTGTTCTTTAAATATCAAGAGAGCTTTTTGCTATTGCAGCAGTTAAAGATCCATCCGTGCTGTATATATAGGTTTGGGTCACTAAAGACCAGAATATGTAATAATGATTGGCAAAACATTCATGCATTTAAGGGTTAATGGAGGTTTAAATAAAAAAAAATGCACACGCAATTAAAATATGTAACTGATCGAACAAAAACTGTGGAGATCTGACAAAAACAGGTCTCAGAGAGGTGTTTATTACAAATAAAAATTTAAATGAAAGCACATCAAGTTGGCAGAGTGCGAGGGTTGTAGCGGGATGTGGATCCGTCACTCATGGTGCACCTCAGTGTCGGACAAACAAAAGAAACAAGGAATATTTAACAGCAGCGGTCGCGGTGATGATGAGGCGTATTGTTGTGCTATCTTAAAGAGGCACAAAATCACTTTGACTGACTTTTTCATTAACTGTTCCCTCCTGGTCGCAGAGTGCGAGGGTTGTAGCGGGATGTGGATCCGTCACTCATGGTGCACCTCAGTGTCGGACAAACAAAAGAAACAAGGAATATTTAACAGCAGCGGTCGCGGTGATGATGAGGCGTATTGTTGTGCCATCTTAAAGAGGCACAAAATCACTTTGACTGACTTTTTCATTAACTGTTCCCTCCTGGTCGAATGACCTGCCCAAATCAATCCGAGCAGCCAAGTCCTTAACCATCTTCAAGAAACGACTAAAAACACATCCGTTCCACCTTTATTTGACCCTCTAACTCTAGCACTTTCTATTCTATTTTAATTCTACTTTATCTATAGTTATCTTCTTTTTTTCTTTTTTCTTTTTTTATTTAAAAAAACAACAAAAAACAAACAAACACTAGTTTTCTATTTTTTCTATTCTATCTACTTGTTTTTCTTTGTGTGTGTGTGTGTGTGTATACAGTATGTGTGTGTGTATAATATATATATATATATATATATATACACTG